ATTATTTAGTTGTTTTAACTGTATTTTGACTGAAATGTTGTTATCAATTTGAGCCATTCTACATGGATTAGAACAGTGGTTCTCAACCTTTTTAATGCTGCGACCCCCAACTGGTCATAAGTCGAGGACTAAATCAGTCGTAAGTCGAGGACTAAACCGATCATAAGTTGAGGACTACCCAACCGATCGTAAGTCGAGGACTTTCCCTGCCTGGGAGCGCCGCGCATGCGTAGTGCCACCCCCTGCGCCGGCCGAGGCGTAGCTGGCAAGTGGCAGAGACGGAGCAGGCCGACCACCGGCTGGGCCACCAGCTGGCCTAGCCCAAGACAGATAAGGCACCCGCCGGAAAAGGGGAAAAAAACGACGGACAGCTTTGCTTGGTGACCCCTGTGAAATGGTCGATCGACCCCAAATGGGGTCGCGACCCATAGGTTCAGAACCACTGGATTAGAAAGTGTAGAATACACATATTAAATGAGAAGATTAATAGACAGGTGGAAAAGTATAGTTTTAAAACACTCTAAATATTCTCACTGACCCTTAGCTTCCCTTTTATTATTTTTTTCCACTCTGTGCTATTTTCCCAATAATACTCCTTTCTCTGCCATAAATAAATTTATATCATAGTTCTGGCAGAGATGAATAAAGCAGAACTCCGAGGCTTGAAAATTCCTCAAAGAACATGTTTATTAGTTACAAAGTATTGGCATAATCAAAAGTGAAACCAAGTCTGAATACACGTAACAATTGCCCAATTACAAAGTTTACTGTCTCACCCACAAAATTATGCAACCAACTACGTTCCCCAATATACTCATTTGGCAGGCTTTTTTATGCAACACCCAGTCCCTAGGCACAGGAGCAGTAGATGACCTTGGTTCCCATGGGACAGAAGATTATTTTGACTAACAAAGCACCTGGGCAACCCCCCTCCCTCCGTTCTATGTGGCAACCTAGAATGAGAAGAAAAAATGGCTGCAGCCATGCAACCATGACATTTATGTAAATAAGATTTTTGACCACTTTTATGTGGTTGAGTATATTTGCTTATTTATCAAATTTATATAGCTGGCCATCTGACAAAAAACTCTGGTTGGCATAAAACAATTAATTAAGTAAAAAAACCTATATAAATGTTTTTACATTGTTAAAATGTAAAAAAAGAACATAAAAAATAGAGTGGATATTAACCATGGAGCCATCTCAGGATTTCATTAGTCGCCTGGGTTCCTCAGGCGTGACCATACAGCTAGGTCTTGAGGGATTTCTGAAGAATTAATAGGGATGGAGCTAACCTCACTTCAAGGGAAAGAATGTTTCATAAAGTGGGTGCCATGGCACAGAAGGGACCTGCCAAGTGTAATTTCATAGCACATGCCTGGGACTTGCCAAATATAGCTCCCTAACAGACAGCACCCACAACACGCCTCCTCTACCAATTCTGGTGGGATGGGCAGATATAATCGAGAAGAGGCAGCCCTCAGATAACCTGACCCAATGCCATGAAGGGCTTTAAAGCTTAAAATCAGCATATTTTTTCTTCCTCTTTTTAATATACTTTTTTATTGTGTAATTGTATAAGTTTTACTTCTATAATATAATAGTTAATAAAATTATTGGCGAAATCAGCACCTTGAACTTGACCTGGAAGCAAACTGACAACCAATGCATCTTGCGGAAGAGAAGTATAACCTGTGCTGTTCTAGAAGCACACATAACTGTCTGCACTATTACATTTTGCATCAGAGGAAGCTTCCAGATATACTTCCACGGCACCCTATGTCAAGCGCATTATAGTGGTACAATTGGGCAGTGACTAGAATGAGTGCGACTGTGAAAAGAGCTCTCTGATTTAGGAAGGGCACAAATAGTACATAACACAAAGATGTGCAAAAGGTCCAACTGCCACCTACTCTTTGAGAAGATCTCCCAGATTGTGCATTGGTTCTGTCTGGACAGTGCAAACCCATTCTGCACCAAAAATGGCATAGGCCTAGAACTGGGAGACAAAAGCCCTATAATCAATCACTCAGGGTTTAGTCTGTTGTTTCCCATCTGACCCTCAGAGACTCCACACATGTAGATATTCATAGCACTGCTTAAGTTATCAAGGGCAAAGATGTATAACTGAGTATCATTAAAGTATCGATGATACCTCACCCATGAAGGCAAATAAGCTCACCCGCTTCATGTTAGATGTGGACTAGGAGAATGCACCAAACCTTGCAGAACCCCACATGGCAGGGACCAAAGATGGGATTTCTCCACCCAACAGCAATAATGACTGGATCAACACTGGAAAAAAGATGCCAACTACCAGAACACTGTGCCCCCCATCCTTAATCCCCTGAGCCAGTCCAAAAGGATAGCGTGGTCGATAATATTGAAAGCTGCAGAGAACTGCAGAGCAAGTATGGTACACAATCCAATCCCATCCTCACCAGAGTTCATCCAGAAGTGTGATAAATGCTGTTTCTGTGCCATATTTAGGTCTTCATATCTATTGAAAAAATTCGGGTAATCCTCTTTCCAAGGCTCTCTAAACCTGCTGTGCAACCATTTTCTCAACCACATGTATCCATATATGAGTCGTGCTTGAAAATTCTACATACAAGAATTTTAATTAAGAAAACATACGTTGCTTTCACAATTTTAAAGAAACTTTATTATTATGTCCTATTCATTTAGACCTATTAATAGGGTAGCTAACAAATTACTGCCAAAAGCAAAATAGACAAAAAAAAAAACATTAAATTGTGCTGCAGTGCCACCTAGTGGATTATATATATTGTAAATTGTGTGAATATATCTTTGTTTCTGTTTTAATAAATTACATGTAAGTGATATATACCCTACCGGTTAGCAAAAACAGTCCTTTTCTTAAAAAAATACTCATGCAACTTTTTAGTACTTCAGTGTCTGCATGGTTGTTTGAATTTTAACAAAAAACAATAGCAACACTAATTTAAGCTGCTTTGCCATGTCACTTTTTAGTACATCCTTCCAAGATTTTTGGATAGCCATACTTTCCCTTTTCTGGGAAAATAGCAACTACTTGGGACTGTGGTAGGATTGGGGATGAGGGAAGAGAAAAAGAAAAATCCTACAGTTCTTTTTGGGAAAACTCACAACCTGAGCAACTTTTTTGCTCTCCTATATATATCTTTAATCAGAACTGCCTTGCAGAATAACAGAATATTTCAACAGAGGTGTTCTTATATTCAGCCTGACTGGCCATAAAATTAATTCAAAAAGAAATTAAAAAGTAAAACATTCCAATATAATTCTTGGAAATCATAGTATACATAAAAAGATTTGGTTATTATAGACTATATCAAAAGAATTCTAGAATTTCTTGTAGTGCATCTTAAAGAGATGACATCAATCATGAAAGCCTGAGAGTTTTTCTCTTTCTCTCCTTCTGATACTAAAAAGAATGAAGGCAAGAGACTTGGAAAAATTAATGATTAATGCTAGAAATCTTAAGCTTAAAGGAAATCAAGGCAAACAAGCAAACAATGATAAATACAATTATCATTCAGAGCAAATGAAACTAGGATTTGATGGCAAGAGTAACATATGGATTATGGCACACACGATAGGTAGGAATTCCTTTAAATGACTAAATAAAGGTACAGTTATAAGCAAACTCCTTAATATTACTTAGAAAAAGGTACAAGAATGGTAGTTGAGCACAAATATGAGCCAGTGAGCCATATAACTGTAAAAAAGGCAAATTCAGGTCTCATGAAAAAAAACATAATTCCCAAACCATTCTAGCTTATTGTGCTTTGGTTTGCTCTGGGACATAATGTTTTGTGTACTGCACTTTCAGGAGAAATCAGAGAAATTGTAATAGTTTCAGAGATGGGAAATTAGGAAGATCAAAACTAGAAATCCTATGAAAAGAGACTGGAGGATCTTATGTTTTAGCCTTGAGAAAAGATCACTGAGGGTGTCCGAATAATAGCTTTCTTCAAATACCTGAAAAGATGTTGCTGGAAGAAAGACAAGATCTACTCTTACACATTGCAGAATATAGAATATGAAATAATGATTATAAGAATGTAGATTATGACTGAATATTAGAAAAAACTTCTCAACTGTAGAAATAATAGAATCACCAGGCCCGAAAAGTGACAGATACTAGACAACCATTTATTAGGACGTTCATCTTGAATTCCTGCACTGAGTAGCAAGTTGGATTAGATCTTTCCAAATGTTTATTCTGTGTTCAATATATTTCTGGTATATACATATGCCAGTCCATTATTATTTTGATTTTTCTGCATCTTAACCAAATACTAAATATATTGTATTGTCCACGATTGCTAGGACATTGGATTTGAATTTATAAAAGAAAGCATTTTACTTGCACAGGTAGGAGGAATTTCTTATCACTAAACTGAATCTGTTTCCTCTCACAAAAAAGTAATATGGATTGAATTTAATAACACCATCAGAATAAGGTAGGCCATCAGAACTTGGAATTTTGCTAAGTTAATGCCCGTGCTGAAATATGAACAAATTTTCATCTTCAGATGTTTTCCATAAAATTTCCTACTTCTCCCACAATTCATCTGTTGAAGGGTAGAACATAATGCATTTTTAACTGAATTCTGAGTCTTTGGGGATTGAGGTTTGTGTGTATGTGTGTGTGTGTGTTTGTATTTCATGCTGTTATATAATATTGTTATCTTACTGCTGATATGCTCTTACAGTTTCTGCCTGTAGAATAATTGTTGTCTTGTAGGTTTTAATGAGTTCATTACAGTTATGTTTGTTAAATAAATGTTTTCAGTAATTAAAAATTCCCCTGCATCTTTAAATTCCTGTTACAAAATGTCATTTATCAGATTGCAATCTTCCAGCATAATTCTTTGTTTTCTTCCACTAGAAGAAAACATACACATGATTGTACATACTGCTGGGCCTTGCTAGTAGGAGTGTAATGAGATTATGCATGTTTTTTCAAAAGTCTCCTTTGTTCATCTTCATTAATGACATGTCCTATATTTATTGCCCTTCCTTTTCCTGTAGGTCTTACTGCAGCAGCATCTCTAGTATCTTTGGCATGGGCACTGGCTTCATATCAAAAAGCTCTTCGTGACTCCCGGGATGACAAGAAACCTATCAGCTACATGGCTGTAATTATTCAATTTTGTTGGCATTTTTTCACAATCGCAGCCAGGGTGATTACTTTTGCTCTCTTTGCCTCTGTTTTTCAACTATACTTTGGAATCTTCATAGTCCTTCATTGGTGTATTATGACTTTCTGGATTGTCCATTGTGAAACAGAATTCTGCATTACTAAATGGGAAGAGATTGTGTTTGACATGGTTGTTGGAATAATTTATATCTTTAGTTGGTTCAACGTCAAGGAGGGAAGGACACGTTGTAGGCTTTTCATTTATTATTTTGTGATCCTTTTGGAAAACACCGCCTTGAGTGCTCTTTGGTATCTATACAAGGCTCCTATGATTTCTGATGCATTTGCCATACCGGCACTTTGTGTGGTGTTCAGCAGCTTTTTAACTGGCATTGTTTTTATGCTGATGTACTATGCCTTCTTTCATCCTAATGGACCACGATTTGGGCAGTCACCAAGCTGTGCTTGTGAGGATTCTGTAGCTGCCTTCACTCTTCCTGCTGAAGTAGCATCAAGTACTTTAAGGTCTATTTCTAATAATCGGAGTGTCACAAGTGAACGGGATCAGAAATTTGCTGAGAGAGATGGGTGCGTACCTGTCTTTCAAGTAAGGCCAACTGCACCTTCAACCCCTTCATCCCGACCACCAAGGATTGAAGAATCTGTCATTAAAATTGATTTATTCAGGAATAGGTATCCAGCATGGGAAAGACATGTATTGGACAGGAGCCTCAGAAAGGCCATTTTAGCTTTTGAATGTTCTCCTTCTCCTCCACGACTACAGTATAAAGATGACGCCCTTATACAGGAGCGATTGGAGTATGAAACAACTCTATAAATACAATGAATACAGAAAACTCAGTGCAACGGCTATGATGCATCCAAATAAAAGGGTACTAATAGGGCCGTGGCAATAACTTAATTTCATTCTACAGCAGATCAGGAAGCTATAGCAGTGTCCTTAGTCTGACTACCATCATGATTATCATTTGATCCACTGTACCACAGTCTATCTCAGTAAGCCTAAAAGAAGCAGCATACAAAAACCTCAAAAAATCATTATTTTTGACTGAGAAATAGACTTAGTCTGATTACTCTGATTTTAAAGTGCATTATACGGAATTTAAAAATAAGACAGGAAGGGTTGAATGAGTGACATCCAACACACTAGTGAGTGGGGTTTTGTTTTCTTTTTTTTCCTTTTTAGATAAATCCCTGCATATGTTTTTAAGCTGAGTATGTTTGCATACTTATTTACAAAATAAAGTTGCAGTTTAGAAAAAATGGTCAGAATAACTAAATTCATACAAGGCAATGTTACTGTTATATGAATTCTAATTTCTATGAAAGAAATTAATATAGTTATCTTGCATAGGTAAATCATGAAACATTTTCAAATGAGAGACATTGAACAAGGCATTAGTAATTTTTCTCTAATCTAGAATTCTATTTATAATCAAAGAAACTATTCATTTTTATTTTATTAAATTTTATTTTCTTTTTTTAAACAGAAATCAATATTTTATGTACAACTTCAGGGTACTTTTTAACAGAAATTCTATGCAGATGATTCCTTCCTCCTTCCTCAACTTTCAAAAAGAATTGAGAGTTTAGATGGTTATTAAAAATGTAAATTAAATGATAATCATGATTAAATTTCAGTTGCAAAAACAAAAAAAGAAAAGAAAAGGGAGGGAGGGAGATGGAAAAAATACCAAAAAGGTATACATCCCATATACTGAATCCTGTGAAGATTATGTTCAGAACAGCAGCAAAAGAGAATAGGTGTTTTAATCTACTATATATGAATAAAGCATCACAATATGCTATAACCTTTTAGTGCCAAATATTGTGTAATTACAAAATTAATATAATATTATGGTTTGAAGAGGAGATAATGTCCTAAAGTAATTGGAAAGAATACATTGTACCTTCTACAGTTGTAGTCAATGGTGTTTAAGCAAAAAATATCCCCTGGTTTGTAAGCATATAAACTACAGTATATACTTTATAAATAGTGCAATCTACAGTAACCTACCTTATGTGCAAGATTTTCTTGAAAAGGGTAAAATCTGTTTCATTGTACTTAGACATAATACAACATTGTGTTTCAGTTTCACAAAAATGTATTTCAGTGAGCCTTGGATTTAATGCTACCCCACCTCTTGTCATCTGAAACGGCATCTAATAAGATCAAAAGTATCCAATTCTATTCTAGATGAAGTGCTATTTTACTTGCCATTTTAATGTTAGTTGAAACATACGATCTTCATGTGTAGTTTAATGCTCAATATTTTTCCAACTATATATATTTCTGATTAATAACATGAAACTTGCTTTAATTAGGTAGATAAAATAAAATTAATCTAATATTTCATTTTTAGGTATAGTTTTGTTTTTTTAAACAAGTTAATAGTTAACACAAGCTAATAAGCAGTAAGGAAGAAAATAGAAAAAGCAAAAGCAAAGAAAAAGCAAAAGATGCCTGAAAAATGCATCCAAAATTACTCTAAAATTTCAGTACTCCTCATAGGTATATCAAAAGAAGAAGGGAAATACATAAATCCAAAGTTTACTGTGGTTCACTTTTGTACAGCTAAACTACACTTTAGCCTTATATACAAACCAGCTAACTGTAAAAAAAAAATAGTTTTCCAAATAGGTATCTGGGCATGATTCTAGGAAGTATCTTTTCTTACCTTAAAAGTATCCTTGATGGTGCTTTTGGTTGTATTAAAGGTGCAAGTCAAAATTTGATAGTATTTTTTTTAACAAAAAATTGGTGCAAACTGGAATAACTCATGGATTATGTCAATATTTTTGTAAAGCAAAAACTCAGTACACAAGTTGTTACTTTTTATAGGCAGAATCTTTTCACCTGTGACTCATTGTCTTTATTAACTTAAAAATTAGTCCATAATTATATCCACTAGTCCTTTGTAAATTAATATAACTGCATAGACTTGATGCTATATTAGTTTGTTTCACAATATCATGCAATATGAAAATGTCCATTTCTACCTTTAGAATATTTCAAAACAGTGAAAACTTCAGATGAGTGCTTCAGATTTAGTGCAGTGTGTACATTGAATGCTTTATAATGAATTCTGATGAACTCTAAACTATGAATCAGTATTTTCCAATCTGGAATTGTCCAATGTTGTTGGGAACGCAACTTACAGAATGTGAAACCACAACAGTGGAGAATTACAGATTGGAAAAAGCCAATGTATAATTAGGTTTAGCCTGAAATTTTGCAGATTCATAGTGAGGTTATAGTTTGCTACTTCAGTTATTCTCCACATTGTGGCAAGCTGTATTTTCATAATGTTTCTGCAATATATTAGAAACTTCAAAAAGTGAGATGGTTCATTGTGTTATTCTTTAACAGAGGTATAATCACCTATTGCAAATATGAGCAAATTGTTTATGAATATAAGCAGCTCCACAAGCAGGTATGTGAAGCAAATCTTTGTACAGTTGTATTAACAGAAAACAACTTCTCCCCAAAAAATAGCCCTACATAAATGTGCATGTCCTTCAGCAGTCTCCCTTGTAATTGAAAATTTCTTATTTAGATTTAATTAATTCTTTACTGGGTCTGCCAGTAAAGTTTAAAAGTTTAAGATTATGGCATGTTAAATTTGCACTGCTTCAAGCCTTGCTGCAATTGTATTGGCAAATGTTATGTTGTTATTTCAATAGACATACAAGTTGAAATTGTGAAATTATGAAATATGTTTTCAATACAAACTCAACATGTATGGGTAGGCAATACTAGTCCATTACTAATTTCAAGTGGCCCTCAGCCTGATTTCAAAAATCAAAAAATCTGACAAGAATGGTCCATCCTTTTCCTGAAAACGTGCTGCTTAGGGTGAAAGAAAGGCAGGTGTGGGCATCCAAGTGTGCACGTACAAAACAGAGAGAGGAGGGGAAAAGATGAAATAAAGTGAATGAGTCATCTCACACTCTTCCCTGTCCCTGACATCCATTGTTTCAGCTTTACCAAAGTTCTCCAAGGAATTTTTGTTGAAGGAGAACAGCTTTTAACAGCACAAAGATCACCTCATCTGTATGTTTTGCATGCATTTCAACAAAGCTCCTCTCCATTAACAGTCTTGCATTTGTGGTTCTTTTCATAGCATGTCTTTTGCATAATGTTATGTCTGCCATTATAATGTGTGGAACAAGATACAGTATAAGAGAAGAGGAGATTTGAGTTTTGCAAAGTTTGTTCAAAAGTGATAAACAGCATCATATTTTGAATAGAAAGGTCTGAACAAAAAGCAGGATGCTTGTTTCTCATTGGTTTTTTTATAGTAAAGAATATGAATATTTATTTGGATTTGTAAGGGCTGCCATGCCTTAAGATTGAACTAATGGGTCCTGCATAAAATATATTTGCATGTTTTACTAATAGCTATCTTATAAAAGATAATTTATCAATTCAGAGATATAATTCATTACTATGTCATTTTTCCATTATGGTGATTTGGACAATTTTCAGAGTTTCATGAAGACAATCTCTTTCTTCTCTTCTTTAGCTAGGAAGGAGCCTTTATATTCATAGAATGGCCCTTCTTGATGTAACACAATGTTTCATTATTTATGTCTTGATATGGCTGGAGTTGCCTACATGATTTTTTACTTCTAATATACATAATGCTGTTTTTTTTTTTTAATACTGTTCAAAGTCTATAATATAGTTCCAGGGCATAGTCTTCTCTCTTGAAAACAGAATTCAGTTTTTTTGCTTCAGTGTTATGATGATGTATAATTATTTTACATGATGTTCTTGAACTTATTTCATTGTTCGGTGTAATTTTACAGGAATAATGTTATTCTGTCATTCATGTTTCCCATTTTATTTCAAGGGAACCAATGGCAACATAAGCTTTCACAAAACGAATGCTGGTGCATTCTAGGCAACTTCTTAATATATAAGGCTCAGCCAAGGCCTTCCTGTTACCTACACCTCCTTCTTTTCCACTGACAAGTAAGAAAAGAAAAATGACCCAACTTCTCCCATTACCTATCCTTAGGATGCAAAAAGCGAAGTAATTTGCATACAATTTGCTACAGCTTTTTTTTCCATTCCCAGAGTGGACTAAACTTTGGATTAGTGATTTTAAAGAAGCAAAATGGATTCTTGCTTCCACCCCTTCCCAGGGGTGTTAACATTTTGCATGGAGTCAACCTTAGGATGCTTTTTTGTTCCAAAAATGCTAGAATGGTTTGGGGCTAAGTTAACTTTCCCCAGTCTGCTACAACATATGAACAAGGGGATGAACGGAAATATAACCCTTTCTTTCTGGCATAGAAAGGTAATCATTAAATGGCATCATCAAATTAGAGCTTCAGAAAAATATCACATTTTCATTCATTCTACTTTTCATATTCGATAGAGTAAATACATGAAAGGACAAGTTGACTAACTTCCCCCTCAATTGCATCAGCAATGGTTCTGATCTCCACCAATTATTTTTGCTTTACAAGATTCTTACTATGTTTGCAGAAGATAGGAAGCCAGTCATTATTTGATCAGGAAATTTGTATAACTTAGTATATAACCAGTTGTACAGTTGTATAGTTTCTAACAGACAAATCACTATATCAATGTGATTTTGCTCAAATATTTGATTTTGTCAGAAATGTTCCCTCCAAATCAAGCCATTTCAATTTCATGTTTGCTTCCTCAGCCCCATTTCTTTTCTTTAACACATCTACCTCTGACTCCACTGACACAGTAAAAACCTTACTTCTAGTTTTGAAGTAGCATTATTGCCTGAAATACTCTGACAGAGAAGTAGCTGCATTATCTGACTGCTCTGCCATCTTCAGAAATGCTGTTCTTTTCCACCCTTTGGCTGCAGTGTGAGAGAATACCAGGCATAGCAAACCTTTAAGACCTTTACATTGGTTTCCAGCCCTTTGTATGGTCACTAAAACACTAGCAAGAACTATCTATGTCCCTTACGGAAGTTTGCAACAAGCAACATACAGAGACACATGGAGGATCAACAAACCAAATTTCCTCTCCAACAGTGATGGTGGCCTCTGTTTCCAGGATTTCTACAGCAGGTTTCCAGAGCATGCAATAGTATAAACCTTTTTGTCCTTTTACCATAGACTGCAACTTTCCCTGAAGTTGGTTAGATATTAGTTCCCCCTTATCCCAAGGTTCCAGTTAAACACAATAAGAATCATATCCTAGTTGTGCTTTCTTCCTGACTTTTGGGCTCATTATTATGGGAATAAAACTGAAGGGCTTGAGTCCTAAAGCAAAGGTAGTATATAGGTATAGTGAAAAACAAAACAAAATAAATGAAGAATAAACGTTGTATGACTGCTTCCATTGCCCTCCTGGATCCTCTTTTACAAATAGGCCCACTGTTAGCATACTCATTCTTGGCATAGCTACAGTGATAGAACTGCTTTTAACTGGTAGAAGCTATAATTTTGCAATGTGAATTTGTAAGGACAGCATCTTTGCTACCCAGAGTTGATGGGATGCATGGCATTGCTGTTGCTTTTTAATGGCTTATATATGTTGGCATTCCTAACAGTCAAGGGCTAATATGAGGGGAGAGATAGCAGAATCCGGATGAGCTGAGGCTGACCACCAGCAAGCACAGACTAGAGAGAGAAAAAAATAAGGAGAAATGAACGAAAATGAACAGAAAGTCAATGTCAAGAGGAAAAACTGAATTCTTCTTTTTTAAAAAAAAAGAAAAGAAAAAAACTCTTCATCCTCCCTGTGGAGTGCTCCCTGATAATCTTTGTCCTAGTGATTCCAAGGAGTGAAATGGATGGAAAAATTTCAAAATATCTTTGAGAGTTTGTTCCACATCTGAAGATTAATAATCTTGTAAAAGTCTATGTAAATTACATACACATATTTCTGTGGGAATTCCTGCCAAAGTTCTACTAAATGGGCATTACCTTGTAATTGCTGGTTCAAATGGAAGTGTAATTTTGATATGTTATCACTATTCTATTACTGTGTTTTTGTTACCTTACATTGAAATGTCTGAAGTGTTGCCTTCCAGATAGATTGAATTTCAGCCTGAAGAATTTCAGTCTGTATGGTCACTGTTCCCGTTAGCTATGAATTCTGTAACCAAGACAGAACCTGAAAAGGCACAGTGCATTTTGATGATATAAAATATCTGTAAAAACATGCATATGTACCGCAACATCCTTGTATTGAAAATCAAATTGTTCTTTTCCAAAGTTGCAATATTTTTGTTTCTTGGAGAAAGATATATTATATTGATATAGAGTGACTTTAATATAAAGACTACACTACAGTAAATGTTTGCATAGGGCATCATCCAAGAAACATGAAACGTTAAAAACATTTGAGATACAGAAAACAGATGGGGCTTAATATATTAATTTTGCTTATTTGTGAAATTCTAATAATGCAAAGCCATTTTATTATTGAGCAACTACATTTCCAAGAGTTGGAAACTTATACCACTATTTTTCTGGTTATGTTTAAAATTTGCATTTTTTTTTACAGTAGACTACCTCAGCTGGCTTTAATTTTCATTCTTTTTGCAATTTATAACGTTTAGAAATAAAATATTTTTTAAAATTATGCCAATTAGTATTTAGGAAGAATAATCTAGGGGAGGAAAAATATCGATCCAGGATCATAAATGAATATGAAACATGCTTCCTCACTGTGAAGCATTTATGATGTTTGGAGGCAGACCGGTTTCTATATTTATCTTATGTCTTTTGTAAAGAAAGAAAATACTGGTTGCATCTTATTGCTGGATCTAAAGTGGAAACTTGAACATAGTCCAAAATCATCTATTTGGTGGCAGAAGCATACAGCTTTTCTCCCTTTAAAAAAAATAACAGGAATATGCTGGTATCAGAATTCACTGTGTCATCCACCTGGATTAGTGGATTTTGATGTTCAGCTCAGTATCCATATAGCTGATTTAGGAGTGTGAGTCTATGACATACAGTACAAATATCAAGGAACCAACCCATATAAGCTGCTTGTATATGCTTACTTTGTCTTAAGAGTTGTATTTTTCCTATTTATAAATTAAGGGTTTCCCCTCACTTTGTTTATCCTGTATCAGTAATCTACTTATAAGAAATACCAGAAAAAGTAATGAAAAGTTACCCTTCGCAGACTAGAAAATGGCCAATAATTTCTCAGCTCTTATTGTAAACTGTTGCATTGTGCTAATTGTAACTGTGCTTTTACTCAATAGTTACCATTATCAGATCATCTTTATGTTTATGGGAACCATGTAGATATATTTCCCTCAAGCACAGTGACTTGAGTTGAATGATATTCATGACAGTTATTGTGCTATGACCTGTAAACGTTGTACAAATGTACTTGGTATTTCGTTTGAAATGAAGACTCAAATAGATAATGGAACAAAAATCCTTCCTGTAAATACCTATATTCAGACTCCATGTATACAAACATTCCTTTTGAGTCCTGATTGTGAAGAGTGTCTTGATTGGCTAGAGACCATTGCCTTGCACTGACAGTGGTTAAATGTGCTATAGTAAAGAACACAGTGTGTGAAGTATTTGTTGTACTACAGTACCATAGTTCTTTTGGTCTGTTAAGTAAGTTACAATTTGTGATGAAATGAAATTCAAAGTACTGCTTCATACTTAAACATTTCTTTGAATACAACTTGATTTTTCTTGTAAAACTTTAAAAGAAAACTTGAAAAATTTTATATATTTGGATTTTGTAGATTTTTTTTATTTTATTGCAACAAGAAGTACCAAATCATTAAATAAAGTACACTGTGGTCATTTTACTGACACTGTGGAGTCTTTTTACCACAATGTTGGCTCAGCCCAAAGCTGGGTGGTTTCATTTCACCTGGTGCGACTTAGCCAATAATCGCACAAAGGTGGATGGGAAAATATCAAAATGTTTATTTCTGTGGCAGAGGTAAAGAAGTCTGCTTGGGGGCTAAAGTCTCAAAACAAGGACTCCCTGTGTCCCCTCACAACAGTTTTTTTTATACATCTTAGAGATTGCATCAGCGGTTTTGATTGGCCGAATACATTTACCTCACCGCACACCTTAACTTTTGGGGGGCAAATTTTCTTAGTTCCTAAGGGGAGCAACTATGTAACTTTTTTCTTTCTAGGAACTTCCAAAAGCCTCTTGCTCTGCCTTAAACAATGCCTCTCATTTTAATTAAATATGCAATAATAAATATGGCTTATATATTTGATAGCCAAGGACCTGTATATGAGTGCAATATTTACATTACTATGCATATCGTAAGTAGCTATTTTGATTTTTAGGTCACTCCACACTAGGGGAGTCCTCATAGCTTTGTTCCCCTCGGAGTACATGAGACTCTTCTAAGCAAAGTTTTGGTTGCAGCAGGCCCTCAATTTTTATTGGCTAGGGGGCCCATTTTCTGCCAAAGGAATTCTTCAAAATGAAGATGATGAAATGCATCTTTCCCGATTTTACAATCTGTGAAAGAATAACTTTTAAAAAAGAAGGGTAAGAATGGCAGACTTAATCACACCCTGAGATAAGAATGGCAGACTTAATCACACCCTGAGATACCATTTGGCAATTCCACTTCTAAGCTATAACATTCCAATGACATACATTTTACTGCAGGCATGTCTAACTGCCAGCCCATGGGCCGGATGCCTCACGCCGAAACCGCACCCACCCCATTGCCGGCAATGGGAGAAAAGTCGCAATACGTCACACGACGTCACGTGATGTTGCAAGTTTTACATGCCTTTTTTCCTGCATTGAGATACATTGTTCTTTGAGGTGTCAGTCTGCCAAAGCCGTGCTTACACTTATACCACAGTCATGACAATGACTAAACTAATAAATGATGGTGCCTGTTCTTGTGTTCATGACAAAATAACAAAATAATGTTTTTTTATGGTTTGCAACAGTTTAGTCTAACCCTGCTATTCTGATTTATCCATGTGTCATATGGAAAAAAGATAAAAAGGGTTTTTATAAAAACCTTGATGCTATTAGTTCTTTTTGTTCTTATTTATTTAGAATTCAAAATAGAAAGTAAATGCAGATTTCAAATTTCACTGTTCATTTTCTGAACTAAAAGCTTTACAAACATAGTCTCTCTCACACATTCACTCAGATCCCATTCAAAGTATACCTGGCCATGCTAGAATCAAAGTGGGAAGCCCCCTGTGCATAGTACTTTGTTCTGTGTGATGACTCTGATATATTGCAGTTCTCATCACTTTTATAAGTTCTGACAAAGCTTAACTAGTCCCAGTTTCCACTAAAGTATCATTGCTCTATCCATTAAAGCACTGAAGGAGCAATGTCTTCCAGAAGATATGGTGTAACTCTTTCAAAGTTTTATCCACACACAAAAACCTTCTCCTGGAACATAGACACAGAGAGACAACTGGAAAAAGCTTTTAAAGCAGCCATTTGAAGTTTCCAAAAATGTAACTTTTTAATGTCTTTATCTTTAGAAATGACACTTCATGCTAAGGCTAAAGCATCTGCAAAACACTTTTAAAGGCTCTCCAAGCCTTCGTATTTAATACTACTGAAAACATATAATTCTGTGTATTATTGTTTCTGTTTGTTTGTTTAATTTGTCATCCATCTCATTTCAAATGATGCTTGCTTGCATTTGATTGTTTTATCTATATGGTCTTTTGAATCTGGTTTTCAAAAACAAAACAAAACACTAAGAGCAATAGAATACACATAGTAATTTTATATAGAGGAGATACTTTCTAGTTGTTACTTCAATTTTATGTTCCAGTAAGCACAAACCCAATACAGAAACTAGACAACCTGATGAAGAGAACCATCAATGACCTAAGTAAGAAAAGTCAAATCACAAAAGAAAAACAATATGACACCTTTGTTATAATAAAAAAGGAACAATTAGAGAAGTCACATGAAACAATCAACCACACTTTCAAAGGAATACAATTCACATGGGAACAAAAAAACAGCCACACACCATCCTTCCTATATAACCTCTTCGGCAGAGGCAAATTAGAAATACAAGTCAACCGAAAACAATCCACACTAAACAAGTGCTCCATTACCAAAGTAACAACTCAACTTCCCAAATCATTCAAACTTTTGCAGCATAATTAACACAAGCTATCAAAAGGATAAATCTACCATATAGACAACTATCTCATACACAGCCAACAGACTATTACAACCACAAGGCATCACCATAGCACACAAGCCAACTAAAGCTCTCCAAGGCAAACCAAAAACCCAGCACCCAAGACGTAAAAATCAGGAGTCCACAACATACAGTGGGAGAATTGTAACAGCCACTATGTAGGACAGAAGGCAGAAAACTAGCTGAGAACATCCATGAACACCATCCTATAACACATGGGCAGACTCAACCACAGTTTAAACTGGAAAATTATGAGCATGCCAGAAGAAGCCAAATCCAAAACCACCACAGAATTCCTGGAAACTTGGTATTCAGACAAATCAGCCATCAATCAACACGGACGTAAAGCACATTTTTAACTTTACATTATTAACCATTTGCAGCATTGTTAATTGAATAATGTACAAGTGGTGAAAATAAAATAAGTAAAAAAGGAAGGTGTTTTCTAGAAAATCTTATTTAAGAATATAATTCCT